CCCCCCCCCCCCCCCCCCCCTTCTTAGCCTGCCGCCCAGGTTCTTCTCGTCGAGGAGCTCCTGCCGGGCGCCACGGGTACGGATCGCGGTACGAGATGTCGGACTACGTCATGGGCCTGGCGAGCCCGGGCGCCTTTCCCTGCCCGGAGGGCTCCCCGACCTACAACCTCCAGTTCAGCAAGCGGGCGGGTGATGGTCACTTCGTGGCCTTCGGCACCGAGCGCGGGACGCTCGTGATCGTGGACACGCGAGCCGAAGCGGTAGTCCAGCGGGACCACAACGGGCCCGTCGGCTGGGGGCAAACGGACCGTTCCTCGGGCTGGTTCTCGGAACGGGCCGCCAAGAGGCTTGGTGCTATTAGTGCGGGGGTCAAGCACGGGTACTGCCGGAGCTGGGGGGTCCGCCAGCCGGGGGTGGTGGCCCAGTACCGAGCCCTGGCCAATTGCATCTTTGACGTCGAGTGGCTCCACGACGACGGGCGGATCGCCCTGGCTTGCGCAGACTCCAAGATCCGAGTGCACGACACCGAGACGTGCATGGAGGTGAGGGGGGTACAGAACTCGCCCACACGCTTACTACCGCGAACAGGGACCCGTGGGAGTTTTAGAAATAACTACGAAGAAGAACCTGAGGATTTTTAGAAAAACTCAGGGTAAAGTGTTAAAGTAAAGACCACCCGTCTTTCGAGAGCTTGGCCATGAGACCAGACAGGTGCTCGGAAAAGCAAGCCTACCGTAAGGATGCGAGAGAGGGCACGGGCGCGATCGAAATGTCAAGTGTTGGTTTTCTTGCGTGCTTTTCGCACCCCGGTGCCATCTCTCCGACCCCCGGCGCGGAAACACAGTTTGACTGTTTATCTCCATCTACCTTGGTCAAGACACCCTGGTGCCATCTCGCCGACCGGTGCGATGCCCCAAGAAACCACACACGGCGGCCTTTCTGACTGCTGCTACGGCGTTTACGCGCACCCCGGTGCCATCTCTCGTACTATTACATTACAGCACATCATACCACCACAACGAGCTCCTAGGTACCAGTGCAATCGAGCCTTGAGAGTTCGGCCAGGGTGTGCTGTATTCTCTTCCACCTATCGTAGGATACAAAGCTAGGCATACTCCACGAGGATTTTTCGGAGTCGTTGCAGCAATAACTCATCTCATCCATGGACTGACCGTCCGTGGACATCGCCTGTGGATTTCCGCTGACGTGTCCTGTAGACGGCCATGGACGCCTCCAAGGACAACGTCCAAGGACAACGTCCAAGGACAACGTCCAAGGACTTTTCGGTGTCCATGGACGTGCGCGGACACTTACGCGGACAAGCCCGTGGACGTTCATGGACGCGTCCATGATAATGGCAAATAACGTACCATCCAGTGTGCAAGCAGTTTTTTTTTTTTTTTTCGTCCCATCTCCGGCGCCGCCTGCTTACTCTTCTTCGGTCCACACTACACGTTTGCCGCGTATGTGCACTTACACTTCTCAGCGTACTTGGTATTCTACAACTAGCTAGACGCACCGTCCGGGGTCACACAGGATGGGGTACCCACGCCTGTTTTTTTCTGTTTTTTTTTATCTTCTTTTGTCCCCACCTACCTTCTGCGGTGCCTGCCTGAGATATTTTTTTTTCTCGAGAAGGGTTCAGCAATCCCTTCCCTTGCGACGGTTAAGTCGAAGTCGACAATGAAGTCGGCCAGTTTACCAACAACGAGCTTTGCAGCGCGTCGCTTCCAACTTAGTCTAGAATTTATATGGAGAGAAAAAACTCAAACTTTGCCGGGACTCGAACCCAAGACCTGGCCGTAAGTTGGCTGCGAGGATACCCACTAGACCACCGGGGCGACCGGTGTATGTATCGTGCGGTACAGCAAAACGCACACAGCAGGCACAGCAGCAGACTGCGAACCATCTTCTTTTCGTTGGTGGTGTGGGCGCATCACCTGGGTACCACCTGGGTACGTCATACCATTGTCTGAAGCGGGTGTACGTATCGTACGGTACAGGCGACAAACACAGCAGGCACAGCAGGCACAGCAGCGACTTATTTTCTTTCGTCTGTGGTTTGGGCGCCACCCAGGTACGTCGTACCAGTGTGTGAAGCGGGTGTACGTATCGTACGGCACAGGCGACAAACACAGCAGGCACAGCAGCGAATCATGTTCTTTTGCTCGTGGTGTAGGCACGTCACCTCGGTACCGTTTGTTGCCCGCGGTAAGGCAAAACGGCTATTAGTGGGTCTGGTACGCAGCAGCTTACCGTAGGTTTCCGTAGGTTTCCGTACCTGTAGCCGTTGGTCATGGGCGGAATGCGAGTTGGCTGGGGTGTGACTTCTGTAGCGGTGGGTCGTGGCTTGTGTGTTGCGTGCTTATGGTTGAGCGTGCGAATTGCATACAGATTAAAAATAAAGCAACCGACATATTACCGCGTGAACCGCGACCATACATTGAGGAGTTTTGACCTGATGGGCCCCCACCACACCCATGCATGCGTGTAAACGCTTCCCAGGTACCTCAGTACGGTAGCTTAAGAATGCGCCTGGGCCCACTTGCGAAGCCCTCTATCTCATGCAATCTTTGTCGACCCCGGTGCGGAAATACAAGGAAGTAATGCCATTATCGTAATTTTTTTACCCACCCCGGTGCCATGCGAGGTCAATGGTCCAACTACTACGGCATGCACGACTATGAGTACCCCCCCCCCCCCCCCCCGGTGCCATCTCTCCGACCGGTGTCATCTCCTCTCCGAACCGGTACGCACCAACACCTACATGATGGTCGTTGTTGAGTTGCCCCAAAGAAAAAATATTAGAGACGAGCCCTGGTGCAAAATGAGAGATGCTGTTGATTGTTGACAAGAACACATGCCTTCCTCTCTCGGCAGACTTCGACTGCTCGTTGCCTAACAGCGGAGGAAAGGCGGCGATGCGATGAGGATGGGTGGCTCGCCCCCGTGTTGCTCGTCCCCAACTCTCTACAAATATCACTTCCTTCTCTTGCCTTTCGGCCATCCAAGCGCTAATTCAAACCGTCTTCTCTGGTCCACCAAACAAGTGTTGCCGCCGCCTCCTGTGAGCCTCAGCACACTGTTCCATGTAGGGCCATTGCCAGACACAAGCAATCAAGGTTGCCATACCAAGCGACGACCCAACAGGGCCAACAGGGGGCAAGGCGTGGAAAATGATGGCTAGCTCGAGAAGATGTGTGCTGATGGGAGGTTTTTAGAAATCACGCATGACCCGTCCGTCCCTTGGTTGCAAGCAGCCACGGCGCAGCCCTATAGGGTGTAGGATAGTGTGTTGCTCGGAGTGGGGGCGGCTGATTTTGCTTCGCCGGAAAGTGGACTCGCCATGTTCTCGGCGATGGGGCACGCGCGGTTGAGAGATTAATTCTTTTGGGCCCTTTTGTGTGAGAGAGAAACAAGAGAGGAAGCGTGCTGTGCCTTTCGGTCGTTGGAAGAGTAGTTCTGAAATAACCGGTGGGCGATATTGTTTGCAGGTGGTGGTGCTGCGAGGCCACGAAGGGAGCGTCAAGACGATTTCCGCGAATCCATTGGACAACTGTGAGTCCAACCTACTCTAACCTGTGGTCCAATTTTCCTCCCTGCTGGCGTCAATTGTTTTGCCCGGGCTTGAGCAAATCCGTCTACCTCAGGAACGGTAGCGTGACCCTAACCCCGGGCGACCCTCTGGTGAACGTCGATGGAGGGGGGGGGGGGGGGGGCTGTTGAGCAAGCACGCTATTTGCAAAGCAGCGCACCGCTTGCTTTTTTAGCCTCTTGCTCGTTCGTTTGGTATGTTGCAGCCTCGGCGACGCTCTCCTTTCTCGTCTCTGAACCACACGGCGGTAGGTGGCTAATTAGTCCCATCGCCATGCGGACCCCTCCCCCCCGCGTGCGGGATTTCCATCTGCGTTGCCTCTCTGGGATGGGCAGGCGTCGTCCTTTCGGGAGCGAGGGACGGCTCGTTCGCCGTGTGGGACACGCGGCTGCAGCAAGGCAGGCCGGTCAAGAAACTCATGAACAGGTAGGTACTGTAAACACGCAGCCGGGCACACGAACCGTTTGAGAGTTTTTGATCATCAGCACGAGAGACGGAGGTGGGCAGGCAGCTCGGTGTGTTTCACGCCATGTCTACATACTAATACAAATGTACCAATCCCTTTCGGTGTAAGTTAAGCTAAGCTGCCACTCACTAAAAAAATACTTCAGCACATGCCCTTCGACAACCGTGGTTATATCTCGATCGGGTACCCTTTCTGTGATCGTATGGATATTTTCTGAAAAATCTGTTGCACGACAGCAATGCCCTCGTCGGCGTCAAAGCGAGACAATTCTAGCGCTTGGGTGACCCTCAGCGACCACGCAAGCTTTTCCCGCTACGGTAGATAGTTGCTGTTCGTTTGTGGCATGCATCGTCTTGGCAAACCGCCATGAATAGCCAACATCTCACACCTTCGGCGATATGAGTACCGCGACGGCATGGGCTAGAACATCGGCGTGGAGCAACGTCATTGAGATGACCGACTCTCGCCACAACAGAAGCCACGCCTACTGGGGTTAATCTCTTTGAGGCGGTGGGAGAGCCGTAGCTCCGTCCCTATTTTTTTTTTTTTTTTGTTCTTCACTTCAAATCAGCGCTCACAGCACTAGTGCCGTTTATTCCAACCCGTGGTCCCTATAGGCACGATATGTATCTAAGAGTGCCAAATCCCACCTCACAGCCAGGAAGTGGCAGCTACTGTCCCTAACCCCACCGCTCCTGCTGTTGGCTGCAGTGCTGATTTGCAGTGCTGGCTGCGCCCTATCGCCTAAGCCCTTTGAATGTAGTCGGATCGGTGGTAGCGGACAACCGATCCAGCGTAACGCACCCGCCTACCTGGTCTTGTTGCTTCCCCGGGCTCTTGTGCTGCCGATGTTGTTGGTTGTCGTTGTTGCCGTTGTCTTCATGTTAAAGAAGCGTTCCGGTCTCTGCTCAGTACCTTCGAACATCCGTACCGGCCCGGTCCAACTGACGCGGACCGACCGCCTTCCGTGGCCACAGGCCAACTACCCTAGACAAGGGTACATGCACACTTCGAAAAGCGGTGATGCCGAGGATATATTGAACACCAAATTGTCTCGCGGGTCCGCGGCTGCTGCTCCGTTCCCATCCCTAACGCGCAGAGTGGTCGCAGAAGAGTACTCAGCGATGGCCTGGGCTCCTGCCAACAGACTGCAGAGGCGGATGCTTACGCCGGTGGAGCAGGTAGGCCGAGCAAGCGTTTATGGCAATCATCGCGTGCGCACTCTACGGCTGGCGCTACGGCCGCTACCCTCCGCTCTCCGAGTTCGCACATGCACAGCGCTTCGTTGGCTTGACCGCGGTCTTAGCTCTGACTTAGGTAACCACCTGTGGCCATCCTGCTCTGGAGCACTTTTTGCTCTCCGGTTCCCCATGTGCTCGTGCAAAGGCCGCTGTTCTGAGAGTATGTACACATGAGTTGCCGTGTCCAATTTCTCAGTGGTGCCCAGTCGTTTGGATCCTGATAAGATGTTGTCAACGACAGCCCTTCTGTCGTCATCTGAGACGTGTTGTTAGAGTGTTAGATCCGGCTCCTATTATAGCTTTGACCTCGTCCTGTACCGAAACTGTAACCGTGCCGAAACAGTACCGTTCCATACCGTAGCCATGCCGTGCCGTCCCGTCATCAGATCGTACCGTAACCGTTCCGTGCCGTGCCGTGCCGTAACCGTAACATAGCCGTACCCGTACCGGAACCGTGCCGTACCGTAACCATAGCATGACGTGCCCTCGCGGCGACAGGTTTTTATGGTGCACTACACAGAAGACCGCGACCCAAAGATTCCCCGGTCTTACGTTAGAATGGACGAGACCGTCAAGGGAGGCTTTGACGGGATGGTTTGCGGGAGGCCTTGCGCGAGTACCGTGACGTCGGTGCAGTGGATGCCGGACGGGCAGAAGTTTCTCACGGCTGGGCAGGACGGGCTCGTTAAGGTCAGCGGCCTACCTGTGTGTCGGTCTCTCTCCCTCACGCGGTTGTTTTCTTGTGTGCGTGATTTTTCTCATGCCTTCTATCGCGTAGTCGGAGTCGGTTGGCTACCGCTGCTGCTGGGCCGGCCATTCATGTCCTTCGACGAATCAGAATGGTGACGAGCTTACGAGCATCATCTGCATCCCGTACTCTTGTTGTGGATGAAGAGGTTCGCCAACCTTTGTTTTCCTACCACACAAGGGGGCACCGCTGTGGATTACGACGGGGGTATGGTAAACATGTAGCGCGCTCAACGGCGTCGTGCGCCCGGATACTTGCCATACGTTGAATAGAGCCGAGACATATTTCGAATGCGTAGCAGGTCATTGGAGGTTGTGCTGGGTCGACTACGTCGCTGGCGCAAATTCGAGTTAGGAGAAGTCGTGCGGTGGAACTTGTTCCCCATCGTACATTGCTTGTGCGCGGCGGGGGGGTTAGTTGGGCGTGGCATAGGCGGTTCATGTGGACTTCTGCCGACCTGTACCTTCACGTATCCGAGGGTCCTCTCATCACAGCCTTGTCGGCCTTTTTCGGCAGCCCTTCAAACTTTTGTTTTTTTGTCTCTGCGAGGAAACAACATCGCGCGCATCCTGCTTTCGACTCGCCTCGTCTCAACACCTTTTTCATGTTATATCTGCACCCCGTTCCAGCTTGCAGATACTTCCCCCGCGTTTCCAACGTGAAAGGTAGCCTGGTCCGGCGAAACACGCGGCATATCGCTCCGCCCCAGCCTCTTAGGGGTGTGAGCTCAATGGTCTAACGACGTTGACGTGCGTTTGCATGAGCACAAACCTTTTTCTCAATCCTGATTCATTCCATGCATGCGTCCTTTTTGGGCTTGTGCAATATTTTGTTCTTTCCGCACAGCTCTGGGACACGAGGTACGTTCACCACCCCCTCCAGGAAGCCGACCCGGACGATGAATCCGCGTCGCCCCCACTCCTTTCGGAAAACTCCCGCTCCATGTGGACCCTTGACTACGGCAAACCAGTGCCGCGGTCAGGAGCTACGGGCGCCGGCACCGGCGGCAGCGGGGGGAGGCGTGCGTCGGCGGGGACTGCTAAGGGGCGGCGGCGACGTCGAGCTGTTTCGTACGGCAGCGTCAGCGGGGGCGACGCGGTTGCAGAGGAGAGCACCGATGGGGGGGGCAGGCGGTCCGGCGTGTCGTCTGTGCACGCGTGCGACGACGGGTCGCGGATAGCGGTGAGGGGCGCGACGGACGAGCGGCGGCGTTTGAGGTGTTTCGATTGTGTTGGGGTGGGGTGGGTGCTGCCGTCGAGCGGTAGGTTCCCCTAGTGCCTATTATTAAGTGTTGGGTTATTTCCGTAGGAGGCGATGTGGCTGTTTTCGTACTTGTTGTTGTTGATATTGTTGTTTTTTGTCTTACTGGCGATGGTGTTGAGGATGCGCGTTATTGTTGTTGGCTGTTGTTTTTGTCCCGTTGTTGGTGGTGTTGAGGGTGCGCGTCGTCGTTGTTTGTTTGTTTTTGTTGTTGCCGTTGTCCTTGTGGCGATGGGTTGGTGTTGAGGCTGCGCGGCGGAACGTCGTCGGCAGTGCGACGCGTTGGCCCGGCCCTTGCATCGTTCGCCCTCTCTTCGTGCCAACTACTACCATGTGTTGTTTATCGCCGCCGTAGTCATCGCGCCCACGCTTACTCAACCTCACCCCCCCAACCGTCGTCGTTGAAGACATTTTCCGCGGCTTGGGGCGCTTCCAAATGAAAACTGACGCAGGTTTGTACGGTGAAGAACCGCATCTCCGTGTACGCCTACACCTGCGGCGGACTCCGACCCCTCGGTGCCTACACCGGGAATGCGAACAGGTACAACTGCAGGCATAGCTCTGCCAAGATGTAACGCTAGTCTACGCAGGTTTTTCTTACTGCCACAAAACGGCATTGCAAACACCCCTCGTGCTCGCAAGCAAACATAATGGATAATAGTATAGAATCTTGCTGCGTTTGGGTTGAGGTTACGGTCTGCGTGCTCCCTGCCTGGTCCTTTTTTGTAGCGACCTTACCGTACCACTTTGCGCAGGCAGTACAGATATTACGTGTGTTGTCACCCTGGGGTGTTTTCTCGTGTCGTGGTATACGATACGATGTATGCGCGGCAGGACCGTCGTTTCTCCCCTTGGTAAACCCTGGTCTAGATTTCTTGCGATTTTCACGAAAAGCATGTCTCTCTTCGTTCGAGTGTGGGGCAGTCGGCTGCGGTCAGGTGCACACACTGTTTTTGTTTGAGGATGGCTCCTGTTTGTGCCCGTTGCGAGGCACACCCTCGGCAGCAGCCGCTCTCGATCATACCACTCTGCATCATCAAGGAGGCTCGTGCATCTATGTATCGGCAGAGCCCGAAGTATACGTCCGGAATTGGCGCTATATGGGCGACAGACGGTCTTTCGGGAGTTGAGACACACCATGTCATCCATGACTATTTTCATGTTTTTCGTTTCCTGACGAAAACACAACGACTTCATCTCTATCCGCAGATGAACAACTTCATCTCTATTCACAGATGACAATGAGTCGAGGATACAGCAGAGGCGATGCAATCACGGTGTTGTGTTACCTTTTGTTGCGTTTTCTACTGAACCCTGGACAACATGTATTTTTTTTGTTTTTCTAAGCAAGTCTCCCACCGCCACGACCTCTCGTGGACTGTCGCCAACGCAAAACCAACCAGGTCGTCGTACTACATCAAGGCGAAGCTGTCCCCCGATGGGTCCCTCTTGGCCAGCGGTGCCACCGACGATGCAGTGTGTCTGTGGCAGGTGGACTGCCCAGGGCTTCCCGTAGCTAGGCTCACGGTGAGTTTGTCCTCTTTTCTGCCTTATCTTTTACGGTGGTTGCAGCTTCGCATTGTAGCCGAGGGAAGGAGTCCTTTCTAAGGAGCGGTAAGCGGGCGGGGTGTTGTTCTGGGCGTGGGGCGCTTCCTACAAGCTTTGCCGGTGATTGTTGGGTGTATGGCCGGTGATTGGTTGGGGGTGAGGACTGGTGGATTACAAGGATGACGCGCAGTCATTGTTGCTTGATTCCACACGGTGTACGCTCTCGTTCCTGGGGCCTTCTCGAAGCAAGACTCGAAACGTCTTGTTTTACAGTGGCATCTATGATGGGAGGCCATCTTTGCTCTGGGGTGTGATATCGGGTCAAGTGCTTGTGGCAGACCATAAAAATAAAAGAGGCCAACCCGCGGGCGGCCCTCGTTCAGCGTGGGTAAATTGCCGTCAGCGGCCGCACGATTCTCTCTACCCCATGTCCTTGCTGCACATGCCATCGGGCCAGCCAGATTCCGTGTCCCCGCGAGTGTTGGGTGGCGTGTCGATGCACACCTGTGTGTATTTGTTGTCTATTAGCCATTCAAAGTTCGGTTGGTTTTCGCGTCTCTTTTGAGGAGGGTGGTCGAAGACGGCCGTCCTTCGGCAGTGTGTGTACACGATGGGAAGCAACCAGGGGTGACGCTGGCCACTTTGTCGAGCCCCCTCCCCCCCCCGGCATCGGCGCTTCGCGGTTGGTGATGTGAGAGCCTGGTCCTATGGGAACCCGGCGTGCTCCGTCCCGGCTTTGTAGGGATGCGAGGTCAGTGGTCTAACGACTACGGCATGGACGACAATGAGTCCCCCCCCCC